CATGGTGGTTGTTGTGATGGTGGTGTTGATGATTATGGTGACTACTGCTATTACTGTTGCGTCTTTTGAATGGATTATGGATTCTACGATTTTTACGACCTGAAAGAATTTTTGAAGCTTTCATGTTTGAAATTTTGGTTTGAATGAGAGTTTGTTATTTGAAAATATATTTTTTAAAAGTTATTTTTTCTAAAAAAAAAATAAAAAAGTTGTATATAAACGTTATGTTTTTTATATGATATTATTTTTTTTGTTTGAAAAAAAAATATTTTTTTTCTTTGTAATAGTTGTTGTTGTTGTTATTATTGATATATATAATAACGTATAAGTAAATTATTTATTTACTCTTTGTTTGAAGTTTTTTTTAAAAATTGAGAAAAAAGATAAACACTTTAATTTATAGGATTTTTTTTTCTAAAAAAATATATATATATACAACATGTATATATAAATAAATATAAATATATATTTATTCATGGTTACACGGAATTTGGTAAATTAAACTGTATATATATATATATAATAATTATGTAAATTTATTATTTAAAATACATGTATTTATTTATTTATAAATAATATTTAGTGTAACAAAAATAGTTCGGGAATTTATATTGAGATAATAAATAGACTGAGTATAATAAAAAATCAATCCGTGAATCAATCAATCATTAAATTTGCGTTAATTTCAACACATTTTCACTCGAGGATTTTCATGAAGAATGTTAATTTATGACTATGACTGAAAGTCCATATAAGCAAGCATCCTAATACTAATAATATATTAGCTAGTTGGAAAGTAATTAAAAACAAAATTTTTTGTATAAATTTAATTTTTTATTAGTAATTTTTAAATTTTTAATTAGTTTTATTAATTTTTATTATCGCATGAATAAATAAAACAACACATGCACACACGACTAATTATCTATCTGTCTGTGTTCGATTACCAGTATATTAACTAATCAACTGATTAATATTGTCCATTTGGAAGATTCTAAATTAATAATATAAATAAAAAAATAATGTTATTTTCAAATGGGAAAAATAATCTTACATAAAGTGACATAACGTAATACTTAACATTACAATTTTCCAATTCTTCTTTCTTTCTACCAAAAATGGGTGACGATAAAAAATATCAAATATAATATAAATAATAATGTACTAATGACAAATTATTGGTTTATTTTTTTATTTTTTTACAAAAAAAAAAAATTCAATTTTCAAATTCAAAAATATTCATGTATATGTATGTTGTTTTACTTTTTTTTTTTTAAAAAAAAAATGCTTTTGGTAAACCAAATATGTAAATGATAATATTTGTAGAAATATAAATAAATATATTAAAGTAATATAAATATATTTATCATACATACTTCTACATACGTACATTCATAACATCCAATACATCTAATACACCTACTACTACTACTCACATTCGCCATAGCATATCAGCCATTAAATGTCTGTTCGTTTGTCTGCATTAATAAATAAATTCATGTGGATAATTTATATGTAATTATAATTATGTGAATTGAAAATCCCGTCACTCCAATCGGTTAATGCCATAGATTTATTGGTTGGTTCTTATGAAGTTTTAACGACTTATCTAAAACATTAGTTAATGATTTGATAAAGCATGTTACAACGCATTAACAAACACACACAAACTACCATTTATAAAAATAAGAATTTTGTTAAATTATCTCGGCAACAAATTAGAGAACTAGTCAAAAGCTATCGGATAAATGCTCGATGTTTCCTTTGAAGTTGTATGTAATTACGTGATCCTGGCTTTGCACATTTTGTACATCAATTAAAATCTGCAACAAAAGTTTTTTAAAGAATTTCAAAATAATGGCTGGCTCTTATGATCGCGGTAAATTTTCTTTGTTTTATTTAAACTCTAATTCTCAGTGCAGGGTTATAATTAACTCAATTTATTATTTTTTTTTTAGCATTAACTGTTTTTTCACCGGATGGGCATTTATTTCAAGTTGAATATGCTTTAGAAGCTGTTAGAAAAGGAACCTGTGCAGTATTTTATCTTTATTGTTTACGTTTAACGGATTCAATCAATTTTATGTTTATTGGCGATAAATTAAAATTTCCATTTAATTCGTTATATAGGTGGGAGTCCGTGGTGAAGATTGTGTTGTTCTTGGTGTTGAAAAAAAATCTGTTCTTAAATTACAAGATCCACGTACTGTACGAAAGATTGTCATGTTAGATGATCATGTATGCATGGCATTTGCTGGTACAGAATTATTGTTATTGTTGTTGATCTGTATTGTTTTGAGGAATGAAGGATTATAAATTAATAATAAAAATAATAAAAATATATCCTTAATGAATTGTAAAAGGTCTTAGTGCAGATGCAAGGGTTCTTGTTAATAAAGCTAGAATAGAATGTCCAAGCCATAGACTTACTGTTGAAGACCCCGTAACTGTTGAATATATTACACGTTACATTGCAGGTGTTCAACAGGTATGTGGTTATAGTATTTATAATATATTAAATACTCGCTCAGTTAGACATTAAGTAAATATTTAGGTATTATTATTATTATTTGATTTTAGAGATACACACAAAGTGGTGGTGTACGTCCATTTGGCACTTCAACACTTATCATTGGATTTGATGCTAATGATAAGGCACCAAGACTTTATCAAACTGATCCATCTGGCATATATTCAGCATGGAAGGTAAATATTACAAACATTACTTACTTATTTAATGTTTTGATTAAGAGAGTTTATATAAGTTTTTTAAATATTTTTTTTAAAAAAATCAAAAGGCAAATTCAATTGGAAGAAGTTCAAAAACTGTCCTTGAATTTTTGGAAAAAAATTATAAGGAAGGTTTATCAAAAGATGAAAA